CACCACTCTAAGAGACGCCGAACCGAACTCAATCCATACCCGAACCCGAATCCTCCTCCTCCTCCTACTGTTCTCGTCCTCGACGACGACGACGACGACGGTCCCACCTCCTCCCGCTACTTGGTCCTCGATGAGTCTCCATGCACAAAAGCACCTTCGGACTTCCAAACCCAAACTAGGGTTTCACATTCCCAACACAAGTTCTCCGGTTGGCTGTTTGATTTCTGTTTTTGTTTCACTCTTTTTGCTTCAACTACGGTTTCCGTAACCCTGATTGTGAAATTGCTTATTACTTGCCATGTTCATTTTATTCGAAAATTACGTGTTTATGCATTCTCTGCTATGCTTTGGTTGGTTTGAATTATATTATGATTTTGTAGAATTGCATTTTTTTGGCTAAACTTGGTTAAATTTGGTCATAGAGGCGTTGTTTTCTTTTCATTCAGGCGCCGATGGATTGGTATGCTTGGAATCTGATGACGAGTGTGAAAGTGGTTGTGGAAGGGGAAAGGAGGAGGAGAATGAATCAGCTGGTGGTGGTTCTGGTGTGCTGAAGGACTTAGGTTGGATATCCAGATTTGACGAGTCCCCATGTTCTTTTGGTATGTGAAGGGTTGTATCTGTTAGACCTGTGGTTATGGTTGGGTGTTCACTTTTGTTTATCAGTTTTGAATTCAAAAATGTTAATTAAAATGACTCATAACTCCATGCAATATGTTTTCGCTCCTAATATGGACCCTTCAGACACATGTTTATCAGGACGTGATGATCTACAACATGTTTCTGGGAGTTCTTCACAACCTACTGCTTTTCAAGAAGATATTGGTCAGGTAATTTTTTTTTTCTGATGCTAGATGGCTATGGAGTAAGCAACACCTCAGGCTGCCATTTCTTATAACAGTATGATAGTTTAGAAACGTGATTCCTATCAAAGTTTGTATATTAGGCACGGCATTTTTCAGGATGTTTGAGGCATAGTGCTAGGAGTAACGCCTGGTAAAAACTTGAAACGTGACTGATGAATTCCAGTTTTATGATTTGGATTTCAAAATGAGCTGATGAAGATGTCCAGGTAGGACTGGTGAAAATTCGTTAAAAGAGTAAAGATTGAAATGGCAGTTACTAAGGGAAAAGTTCTCTGTACTTCAGTATTTCAACAAATATATAACCTCATGAGAACAAATTTCATGTTCACATTTGTAGTCTAATGGCAGCACCATTATTTTAATTTTCTCATTGAATAAAAGTGTGCTGTTCAAATCATGAAATTTGGTATTTATTCTGAAGTTTAATGCCATGATGTGATCAGGTATTTGGTTATCCTGGCAAAGAAAATATAATGGATCAGACGAGAAACATTGTGAAACAGAGGAGAAAAACTAAAGCTATTTCTAAAAACGAAAACATTACACAAGCAATGGACAAAAAGAAGATGGCGAAAGAGGAAAGGATACGCCAAAGGGAAGAAAAGAATAAAAAAGAGCATGTAAGTTGCTCTTTTTGATCTGTTCCTAATTATTTTTAACAGAAACAAGATGACTGATACATGTGAAAAACAGGAAGAGAAGCTGCAAAGAACATATCTGAAAGCTGAAGCAGCAAAAATGAAAAAACTTGAGAAAGAAAAGCAAAAGTGGGAAAAAGGAAAGTTTGCTCTAAAATCCATTGTGGCTGAGATTGATACGAAAGTATTGGAATTGGGGTCAGTTGGAGGTGTGGTCTTAATATTATTCTCCTTCTGTGTATGTATCTCGCATTATTTCATATATTGTAGCCGAGAAGTTGTTTGAATTTTTATGGTAGGAAGTCTGCTTACAAAGATTTCTGAAAGAGGGCTAACATACCGCATAACATCAAATCCAATTGAAAGATCAATTATCTGGACCATGACTGTTCCAGAACATATTTCACAGGTAATAAGTTTTCGGAATTGAAGAATAAGTCATGACGTTAAAGGTTTATTGTGGGTGTGAATTGTGTGTGACTGGAGACTCGTTAGTAAAAGATCATGATAGGTGCATCTTCTTGGGTTGTATGCATAGCCAGATTAAACTAAATTTTTAAGGATTTCATGAATGTCGGCCTCACTTGATTTACTTTACGTCTTTGATGCATGCCTGGTGTAACCACTAACATATGCTAACCTCAATAACTGATTGCAGACTTCTCCTGAAGGAACAGAGGTTAAATACATATTGCTGGTGTACGAAGCTGAAGAATTTTGTAACCTTGTCATCAATGAATCTCTTTTGGACCAAGTTTTAAGTGTTCGAAGTCGTTATCCAACTTATACAGTGTGTTATCTAACAAATAGGTTGATGGCTTATATTGATAAAAGGTAAGAAATTGATGAAGATCAGGGTATCCTTGTGATGAAAAAAATAACCCTGCCATTGGACTCTATGAAATTGCAATAATTATGTATTGTGTGTTGAAGTTTTCCTTGCTAGAGTATCAGTTTTACCTTTTTAATTTTTGCTTTTGGCTTTTTCAAATTTACGGCTGGTGGTGAACCTGGAAACTACATTCTCTATTTTCCTCTCAACTATAAAAAAGCAGCTATTTGTTCGGGTTGTGCATACTCATCGTTGAATTGTTTACAATTTTAGGGAACAAGAAGTGTACAAGAACCCAACAAATCATAATGGCTGGAGACGCCCACCTGTTGAGGAGGTTGAACCATGAACACAAAATTCTTAGGATCGAGACGCGTTAATGCTTTATGGTGGTTCATACATGTCTTGCAGAACAGCAGTTCTTGGTTTTTTATTATCTTAACTTCTCTTTTTTTATACCAGGTGCTGGCAAAATTGACCACTAATTTTATTAAAGTTCATTCCAGGCTGTGCATAGATGAGGCTGAACTTGCTGAACATATTGTTGGTTTAACATGCAACTTGTCATCCTGCCAATTTAGGTATTTCACATGGCGTCACTCAGTTTTTTATCTATTTATTCTTCTTTCTACAGCTAGCTTAAGAAACCAAAATTAATCAAGACACGAGAGCTTCCCAATTTAGTACTATCGGATGCATATATGTTCATAAAAACAGGAGATAGAACCCCAATGCGCTGCCCAAACTAGACCTTCTCTCACACCGCATTCAGTTCCAACCCCCTAACCATCGAAGTAGATGGACCTTCTATCTATCTACATTTTTAATGTTAATTGGTCGATATTCTAATTCTACCTTTTGCTCTAAAAATGCAGAAAGAAGTTAACCAGACTGGATGTAAATGCTAATGAATCTCTTACCATTAAGGACTGCGTTGACAGGGATTTAATCAGAAAGAGCTCATGGTGAGTTGTTTGATGTCAACAGACAACATACAAAAGTAATGCAGAATGTTTAGGCAGCACATATTCTTATCATCTCCTGTGGCTTTTACGACAATGGTTCTACTTGATATTTCATTTGATGCACTTTCTTGTTTCTGGGGTCAAATGATTAGGAGGATGAGTTCTAAACTGATGATGCAGTGCAATATTTGTAGATACTAGAAAAAGATGTTGAACAACTGTATAAATGAAAATGATTTGTCTGATTTTAATTTTATAACTCTATCATTTATCTAAGAGCATTTTATTTTGTACCTGATATTTAGGTTAAAAGCTTTGGTAGCCATCCCGAAGGTACAGCCGCGATTTGCAATTGCTATATGGAAGAAGTACCCTACCATGAAACTTCTTTTGAGTGTCTACATGGACCCAGATATACCGGTAAGTATAAGATGCTGCAACCTGTCATGAAATATAAAAGAACGTGTGTTGATTGAATTCGACATAGGTTCACTATCCTCTTGTTTACCGAGCAGATTTGAGCTGTTTCGGGAAGTTTTAGTTGCTATTGGATGGGTTTTCTTTGTGCAATGCAGATGAAAAAATCTCTCTAGTTAATGTGTGATATATTTTCTTAAGTAACAGAAGGCGTAATTCGCTAAGCCTACATTCAGCAGCATGCACATTGCTGTGTTGAAGGCGGAATTCAACATGTTTCTGTATATTCTATTTGCTTTCGTTTTTGCTCCGTTTTTCTTGGCTGCTAAGTATCGAAATGTCAGGTTCACGAAAAGGAATTTCTGCTCAAGGACTTGATAACGGAGGGTTTGCTCGGCGAAGACAGAAGATTGGGTGAGGTTTGTTCCATGAGAGTGTACAGAGTACTTATGGCACACAGTGGATCCATTAAAACTGATGATGTTGAGGACGGTGCTGATTTGTTTAGGCGTCAATTGACTTGAAAAACTTCTCTCCAGATTTGTGTACTACTTTTTTATCCTCCGGCCTCCGCCATGCCCATGATAATCCGGCCGCCGTGATTCATTTTTGGTAAATGTTATATTTAGGGCCTTAAGTAGCAGTTCTTTTTAGTATAATTAAGTAAAAAGTTTCCTTAAGTTTTGCAGTTTTTTCGATTTGGCCCTTAACGTCTAAAAAGGGAGAGATTTGTGCTGCACGCGCCACGGTGATATTCCATGGCAGTAGTACAAGGACGCGTTAAACCCTATTGCAAGTAGGCCTAGCATTTTGGACCCAACCCGTTAACCCGACCCAACTCAACTCGTTAATATTTATATTTGGATGGATGCTTAACGGGTCGGGTCGCTAACGGGTGAACCCGTTAACAACCCGTTAAATAACGGATCACTTTGGGTCAACCCGTTAAACCCATTAGGACTTGTTAACACCCGTTAGTTGAGGATATTTTAGTAATTTTAGTAAAGTCTTAATAACAAAAAATAAACTTTATGCAAAAAAAATAAAATAATTGTTAACGGGTGAAACAGGTGATCCGTTAGCTTAACGGGTCAGGTTCGGGTGACCCGTTAGCTTAACGGGTCGGATTCGGGTGATCTGCTAGCTTAACGGGTCGGGTTCAGATGATCCGTTAACTTAACGGGTTGGGTTGAACTCGACCCAAACTCAATAAATCCGACCCGTTTACAGGTCTAATTGCAAGTGTCACGTGCTGTAGCCAAAAGATACAAGAGCACAAGAAGGTCCAAAATCTTGTTACAGTACAAACTAATGCAAGAACCGAATTGCGTACTTATGAAAGGTATATCAAGAACCAGTTACTAAAGCTAGACATCAATCTCATCCAAAGAAACCTTAACATAGCTAAATTCAAAACAATTCTCATACACAAACAAGAACAGTTAATCCCATCCTCCGAATCAACCACTAGAGATCCACAACATTCGCAAGTAAACGTACAAGGCACAAAAATCCAGCGGAGACTGGGACTGGGGAGAGTCGAGGATCGAGACAATGCCCTAGAAACCAGCTCTGGCAATATTCACGCAAAATATAATTACTTTCACAGGAGAAAAGACTAGAAGAAGAATGGAAAACACCTCTATGAAATTAAACCCAAACCCAGCGGGAGACTGGGACTTGGAGTAAGGGAACATACCTGTGAAGTTGCTCTCACCACCAGGTGCATGTAACAGGAAATAACGCCAGCAGTTTCCCTTTGACACAAAAGTAACCGATCCCTATAAATAAACAGAAGTGTTGAATGCCGCTAATACTGAGTTTTGAGAAGTCAATAGATGCCATTAGAAAACCGAAAAACATGATATCGTAGTTTGCATTAGAAAAACTCTACTAAAATAAGTAAAAACCATATTCTAGGAAAATTACTATTGCTGTCTCTGTACTCAGAAAAGAAATAATGTTGTCAGTTCACAAAGGTGCAACTTCTCTATAAAGAAGTTTCGGCAAATAGCCACTAGCAGGACTGGAATTAGCAAAATTATGTCAAATCAGTCATATGCACACTACAAAACTGAAATGTCAAAGCACAGAAAGAAGATAAAATCTGAAAACAATTCCGCCCGGCATCAACCTTTAGATGTGAATCATGTGATGAGTTCAAGTGGGACAACTCAAGCATTCTTCATGAGACTCTATCCTGCACCATATTAGCAGAATATTTTCACTTCAAAATTGGTAAAAACCCCTGGATCTGCAAGTGTCTCTCAAGATTACAGAATTGAAATCAATTCACATGACATTGTGTTAGCAATCCCTTTCATATAATCAGCTTCCTTCTATTCTAATCCTCAAAAACATCATAACCTGAACTTATATCCCCATTGACAACAGAATCAGTATCTTTCATTAACTCTGTTAAGCCATCCAACAAAAGGTAAATTTCATCTCTCAGCCGATTTGTGTCCCCCACCAAAAAGGGTGAAAATCCATCGCCCACATCAACCCAAGCACAGCCAGGATCCTTCCTCACACCCAAGTCCCTCATGAAAGTCCTCACTCTCGCTAGGTTGTTCCAACAACCAGCAGCAGCATACATGTTAGCAATTAACACATAGTAACCAGAATTTTCCGGTCTCATTTCTAACAGCTTCCCGGCTGCCCATTCCCCTATCTCCATATTTCCATGGATCCGACATGCTCCAATAAGTGTAGCCCACATAGCAGAAGTTGGCTTGTAAGGCATCCTTGTGATAATCTCCTTTGCTTTGTTTAGTAGACCGGCCCTCCCAAAGAGATCAACCATGCAGGCATAGTGCTCCAAATTGGGAGTTATACCGTATACACTCAGCATCTTTTCAAATAGCATTTGGCCTTGGATTACTAGACCGGAATGGCTACAAGCTGATAAAATTGAAACCATAGTTACATGATCTGGTTTTATGTGTAACAAGTTCATCTCTTCGAATAACTTCAGTGCAGCTTTTCCTTCACCCTGGACTCCATATCCTGCAATCATGGAAGTATAAGTTACTTCATCCCTCTTCGACATTGAATCAAATACTCTTTTCGCCTGTAAAACCTTGCCCGATCTGGCATACATGTCCACAAGGGCATTCCGTAGCAATAAACAATCATCAAACACTACACGTTTTGTAATGTAGCAGTGGAACTCCTTCCCATGTTGAAGGTTTGCTACCCGAGCACAGAGAGGAAGGATGCTGGCAATAGTAACATAGTTAGGTTCAATTCCTGAACAACATCTCCCTAAATAAGAATGAAGCTTCCTCAGCTCGATCCATGTGAGAATAACCAGAAAGCATGGAGTTCCAAGTAATTATACTCCTATCTTCTATCAATTCAAACAAAGTATAGGCTTTCCTAAGGTCTTTGCACCTAGAATACAATGTAATCAATGCATTATTAACATTATCATACCCATCACAACCACTACGAATCGCAAAACCATGAATTTCCTTCCCTAATTTAATGGCTCCATTGTGGGAACAAGCACTCAAACCAATCGTCAATGCTACTGAGTCCAATAAAATACCACAACTTATCATTTGAGAAAGCAACTCAAGAGCGCCCCTGAAATTACCTGTCCTCAAGCACCCACCAGCAATTGTATTCCAAAGTAAGATATTAACTCCAATACCCTCCATCTGCATGTTTCCAAACAACTCGAATGCATCCGTCCACATGCCCTTGGAGGCATAACCAGAGATCATTGCATTCCAAGAAATTGCATCCCTTGTGGGCATTTTGTCGAATAAGTGACGAGCAATGTTGAGAAGCCCAAATTTCCCATACATGGAGACCAATGAATTATGCACAAATAAATTCCACTCTTGACAATGAGCATCAATGGACTTATGTACCTCCCTGCCAAAACTTATATCCAATTTTTCACCACAAGCCTTGAGAACAGATGGGTAAGTGAAACAATCTGGCCTAATCCCCTTGTTGACCATTTGTTTATATGTAGAGAGAGCCTCATCCACAAGTTCATTTTTAACATATGAAGAGATGAGCACATTCCAAGGTAGAGGATGCAATATATTTGAATTCTCAATAATGATACGAGCCTCAGCATGGAGATTAAAGCTTGAGTAAAATGTAACCAGCTTGGGAACCAAAATGGGGTGTCGTTCAGACCCCAATCTGACAATATGTGCATGAAGCTGTTCACCCTGCGGTAATGTTTTATGGTTGGCGCAAGATAAGATAACAGAAGAGATGGAATGTAAGATAAGGTCACAAGTAGGAGAAGAGGTGTAGAGCTGGACAAGAGAGACAGTTTTGAATGCTTTTGATAAATTTCCTTGGCTTGCATAATTCTTGATGGATGTAAGAAGAGAATCTATCATAGAATCATCAACAGCTGAACCTGTTTCCGAAATACATAAAGCAGATGAGTTCCCAAATTGTTTCGTTCCTTCCTTCCAGCTTTTAGGTATGAATTTTTGGATTTGAGATATAGAAAGGCCTCTTGGGATGAAACGAGAATAAGATGGTGGCATACACTATAAGGTATCTTCTGCACATAATAACATGGTAAGCAAGAACTGATCGCATGACTTTGCCCGAATTTGCAGCAGGTGTCTCAAGAAAACTGGCTAATAGGAGATCCACTTTTGATTATTAAGATCAGGGACAACTAATCAGATTAAAAAGAAAACCATATCTCTCCTGAAAAATAATTAGAGAAAGTGTTAGAAAGGGCATATTTTATACGAGGCTTTTTAGCCAAAATGGTCCCTGAGATTGTCATAACTACTCATTTTAGTCCCTCAGATTTAAAATCAATTGAAGTGCTCCATGAGATTGTCCACCATCAATCATTTTGGTCATTCTGTGAAAAATCTTCATTAAATTTAAGAAATCACCAGTTCAAGTGGAGGGGTTGATATGATAAAAATACCCTCAATTTAACGGAGATTTTCACGGAAGGACCAAAATGATTGACAGCGGACAATCTCAGGGACCACTTCAGTCAATTGTAAATCTCAGGGATGAAAGTGAGGAGTTGTGCCAATCTCAGAAACCATTTTGGCTAAAAGGCCTTTATACAATCATGAAATGTGAGACCGGTCACCATATGTATACATCTTAAATGGTTCGTATACAATAACTTGAAAGTAGGGTGTGTTTAAATTTATGCGTGTGCTTGTGTGTGTGCATGAGGGAGTGCCTCAAACTACGACCAAATTGATCAGTAAAAGTAAATGACAAGACAACACATAACAGGTTTTGGTTAAATACTTTGCAAAACAAAAAGTACCATGGCAAGTTACACAGTTCTGATGTGGCCACTGGCACAGTAACATATTCTGAATTTTTAGGAACGCACAAGTAGAGTCCTATTCCTTCACAGCGCCCAGCTGCTTTTCTACTTTTCCACTTTTCCACACCCATTGGCACAACAACCATTTTCTTTAATCTTTTATAGGCTTAGGGAGTAGAATTTATGGTTGATTACTTTAGGATGTAATCACCGTTTAAAAGCTTAGGGTATAGGGCTTAGCTCTTAACTAGGAATCTAGAATCTGTACTAATCTCTTGTAACAAAAAAAAGGTCTCTGAAAGAGAAAGTAATTCATTGAATTGAACCAACAAATTTGGCAATTGTGGTCCTATTTAAGTTTTCCTTCTTTTCAAGAAGGAAAATTTGCATTGTTTCCCTTCAATCTGTATTTAAAATCAGTGTGATGCCGAAGGTCGGTGTGATGCTGGAATTTATCAAAATACTCTATTGCAGTGATTCCAATACCCTTTTGGTGTGATACCAAAGGCCGGGCTGAGTCCGGATATCTACCCCGTTCGTATTTATTCCTATTATCCTGCATCACGTATTCCTGTAAGGAACCAGAAACTAAGACTACCCATTAAATCCTATAAAAGTTTCAGTCCTTCTAAAAAGAGAATCTACTATGAGTACATTTATTATCTAGCATTATAACTTAATTATTTCAAGCATTTTTTTTTTTTTTTTTTGTAATTTTATTTTAAGCAACTCCGCCTATGTCTTACATGGCCGGTCCCAAGCCCGGATAAAGGAGGAGGGGGAGGGCGTCAGGTAGTCGACAGCCGGCACTCCATGATCACGTCGAATCCTTATGAAAATGAATCCAGAACAAAATCGCGCTAAAGCTAGGGCGTCACCCGTAAGTGGCGCGCTGTGTGGCCCGAGCACAGTGATAAGTGAGCAAGGGTCGCTGTATCTCCATCGGCACCCGGATGCAGTGTTAAATGAGCAAGGGGGCCATAGAAACTTCTTTTCGAACGACTCCACTCAAAGTTGTTTGGGAGCATATGCTCCTATCAACTTTACCCGGGACACACAAAAGAAGTACTTTGATCCTATTAGACGGGGGAGGGTGAAGAAGCTAGGACAGAAGGGTAGAGTTCAAGAGAGCAAAATGCGTTTAGGAACGTGGAATATAGGAACCTTAACGGGAAAATCTATGGAAGTAGTGGAAGTTATGGTGAGGAGAAGGATAAAAATATTATGTGCCTACAAGAAACTAAGTGGGTTGGTAGTAAGGCAAAGGATCTAGAAAACTCAGGGTTTAAACTTTGGTATTCGGGCACAAATAGAACGAGAAAACGGTGTTGGCACCATCGTGGACAAGACCTTGGTACAAGATGTTGTAGATGTCAAGAGGGTAGGAGATAGAATCATGGCAATCAAGATTGTAATAGGACAAGAACTTATCAATGTGATTAGTGCGTACGCACCTCAAGTAGGGTTGGATACGAGTTCGAAGGAGAAATTTTGGGAAGATCTTGGAGACTTGGTGCAAGGAATTGCTCAGACGGAGAAGTTATTTATAGGAGGAGATTTAAATGGACACGTGGGCAGGGAGACAGGCAACTATGGAGGTTTTCATGGTGGCCATGGTTTTGGGGAGAGAAACGAGGATGGGGAAGCTATCTTGGATTTTGCAATGGCATATGATCTCTTCTTAGCCAACACCTTCTTTAAGAAGAGAGAAGAACATGTGATCACCTACAAGAGTGGGTCGTCAAAAACACAAATAGATTTTCTTCTAATGAGGAAAGGGGATCGTATAACTTGTAAGGATTGCAAAGTTATACCAGGAGAGAGCGTGGCTAATCAACATCGCTTGTTGGTGATGGATGTACATATCAAAAGAGTAAGACAAAAGAACAAGACTTGGAAGTGCCCAAAGACTAGATGGTGGAATCTAAAAGAAGAAAAACAAGCCATTTTCAAAGAGAAGGTAATCACCCCAATGTGTGTGGGATAGAGAGGGGGAAGCTAGCCAAATGTGGGATTCCATGGCTAGTTGTATCCGAAAAGTAGCAAAAGAGGTATTAGGAGAGTCCAAGGGCTTTGCCCCACACCAAAAGGAATCTTGGTGGTGGAATGAGGAGGTACAAACGAAGGTGAAGGCTAAGAAGGAATGTTGTAAAGCCTTATACAAGGAGAGGACCGATGAAAATGGTGAAAGGTATAGAAAAGCGAAGCAAGAGGCGAAGAAAGCTGTCAGAGAAGCTAAGTTAGCGGCTTACGACGATATGTATAAACGACTAGATACCAAAGAAGGAGAGTTGGATATCTATAAACTATCTAGAGCAAGGGAAAAGAAGACAAGGGACCTAAACCAAGTGAGGTGCATCAAGGATGAGGATGGAAAGGTTCTTGCTACAGAGAACGCGGTTAAAGACAGATGGAGAGGTTATTTTCATAATCTTTTCAATGAAGGACATGAAATGAGTGCTTCTTTAGGGGAGTTGAGTAACTCAGAAGAGTGTAGAAACTACTCTTTTTATCGTCGAATCAGGAAGGAAGAAGTGGGTTGTAGCTTTGAAGAAGATGAAGCATAAAAAAGCAATAGGCCCAGACGATATACCAATCGAAGTGTGGAAACTTTTGGGAGAGACAGGTATAACATGGCTCACTGACCTTTTCAATAGGATTTTGAAAACGAAGAAGATGCCAAATGAGTGGCGAACGAGCACTTTGGTGCCTATCTACAAGAATAAGGGCGACGTACAAAATTGCATGAACTATAGGGGTATTAAGCTAATGAGTCATACAATGAAGCTCTGGGAGAGAGTCATTGAGCATAGATTGAGGCAAGAGACACGGGTTTCGGACAACCAATTCGGGTTCATGCCAGGGGCGCTCAACCATGGAGGCAATCTATCTCTTACGAAGATTGATGGAAAGATATAGAGATGGGAAAAAGGATTTACACATGGTCTTTATAGATTTGGAAAAAAGCGTATGATAGGGTCCCAAGAGACATTCCTTTGGAGGATTTTAGAGAAGAAAGGAGTACGAGTAGCATATATCCAAGCTATAAAAGGATATGTATGAAGGAGCAAAGACTGCCGTAAGAACTCATGAAGGACAAACCGAAAGCTTTCCCATAACTGTAGGATTACATCAAGGCTCATCCTTAAGTCCTTACCTTTTTGCGTTGGTAATGGATGAGTTAACAGGACATATTCAAGATGATATTCCTTGGTGTATGCTTTTCGCAGACGATATAGTGTTGATAGATGAAACTCAGGAAGGGGTAAATGCAAAGCTTAACCTTTGGAGAGAAGTGTTGGAATCTAAAGGTCTTCGCCTAAGCCGATCAAAGACAGAATATATATGGAGTGCAAGTTCAGTGCAAATGGAGGCCAAAACGAGTTAGGGGTGAGGATCGGAGATCAAGAAATACCAAAGAGCGACCGTTTTCGTTACCTAGGATCTATCTTGCAAAAGAACGGAGAATTAGATGGAGATCTCAACCATAGAATACAAGCTGGATGGATGAAGTGGAAGAGTGCATCCGGCGTGTTGTGTGACCGCCGTATGCCACTGAAGCTCAAGGGAAAATTTTTATAGGACGGCAATAAGGCCGGCGATGCTGTATGGCACAGAATGTTGGGCGGTGAAACATCAACACGTACACAAAATGGGTGTAGCGGAGATGAGGATGCTTCGTTGGATGTGTGGGCACACGAGAAAGGATAAGATTAGGAATGAGGATATCCGGGGTAAAGTAGGAGTAGCCGAAATTGAAGGAAAGATGAGAGAAAATCGGTTACGGTGGTTTGGACATGTGCAAAGAAGGCCTACTGACGCTCCGATTAGAAGATGCGACTATGGGACAGAGGTTCAGGGCCGAAGGGGTAGAGGAAGACCTAGGAAAACTTTGGAAGAGACTCTAAGAAAAGACTTAGAGTACTTGGATCTAACGAAGGACATGACACAGGATCGAGCACAATGGCGTTCTAAGATTCATATAGCCGATCCCACTCAGTGACTTGGATTTTCCAAGTCTCCAACCGAGAAGTTTTCCTCACTCGGGAAATTAAGGGAACACTACCCCAACCTACATGCTCCACTCAGAAAGCTTCAACATACAAGCTTCAACAAAAGAAAATTCAAAGAACTTAGCGAAGAAGGCTTTGGTGTATTTAACACAATACGTTGAAATGAAGGAAAGCTTATTTATTGATATCCCCGATAAGCTACAAAATATGTACATATACATGAGTCAAAATAAACACACAAGAGGGAGCCTTCACAAAGGTTGCTTAGGAGAAGTCTCAGCAGTCGGTAGAGCCCCAGAAAGAGAAGGCACCGGAGGGGGAATCATTTGGAGCCTCAGTACTGGACAGAACCCTAGAAGGAGGAGGCATCAGAGGTTGATCATTTGGAGCTT